CCTAAATGTCCGACAAAACTAGATCCTACGGCACACGAGTAAGCTCAAAATCCGACCATCACAAATCGTATTGAATGAGAAAAAGTCCAAATGTCCACACCCAAAGACCTCACTCGCCCGAGTGTTGGGACCAAACAGATAACGATATGCCTGACGCAGGATGTTAAATTATGTCGTACTAACGGATTGTCAAAGATATCTAACGTGCGAAGAAAAAGAATGTACCTTTTCGTGTGGTCACAAAAGTCCAGAACCCTCAGGTTGCTCCCCGCTGATCTCCGGAGGGCGCAGCCCTTGTCGAGCAGGAGGCCTTATACGGTTGTGAGGTTAAGCAGGCATGTGCAGGACGTGACGATTCCTTGGGTCAGCCCAGAACCAGAGCGCCATGTGCCGGCTCTGCATACATGGAAGCCTCCTTGGATGGCGGGGAATGCCCATGATCTGCCCCTGCCTTTCCTTGAGAACTAACCGTTCCACAAGGGGCTGCCCCAAAGTGAGAAGGCGACATAGAGGACACCACACAAATCAGGCAACGTCTCGACCCACACAAAAAAATGGCCAGTCATCCTAGAAATAGGCCTGATGTTTTCCCTCGAAGTTGGAGTACATCTGCCCGCGAGGCAGGGAATAGCACAACGGTTGTACACGCAAAACTCAGGTCCAGGTAAAAGCCAAAAGTCCAAGCGGACGATTAACCGGGACCTTCCGCCGGAATTCACAACCGGTGAACGAACAAGAAAAAGAAAAAGGCAGACTTAAACATTAGCAAAATGAGCTGCTAAAGCTAGAGCTCAGGAGAAATACACAGAAGCCAATAAGGAAGGAGGCATATAAGGGCAGATAAAGTGAAATATCTAAATGATCTAGCACAAGAAGCAGAAACAGCAAAAGGAAACCTCAGAGAACTTTACAGTAACACAAGAAAATTAGTAGGTAAATATAGTCAGCCAACTGGATCAAACAAAAATAGTCAAGGAAAAGTACTTACAAACACCAAAGCTCAAATGGACAGATGGGTGGAATATTTTGAAATGTTTCTAAATAGACCAGGCCCAGAGGTTCCCCCAGTTATCCAGCCTTTAGCAATGGAACTGGATATCAACTGTGAGATACCATCCAAAGAGGAAATTAGAAAAGCCATACATTTTCTCAAGGAAAATAAAGGCGGCAGGCACAGATGATATCCCAGTTGAAGCCATCAGGGCCAACATAAACACATCAACAGAATTGCTACATAGATTATTCAGTAAAGTCTGGGAGACCGAAGAAATACCAGCAGACTGGAGAGAAGGATATCTTGTGAAACTGCCCAAAAAAGGTGATCTACAGGAGTGTGAAAACTATAGAAGAATTATGTTGCTGTCAGTTCCTGGAAAAATATTAAGTAGAATTATTTTGGAAAGATTAAAAGATGCTATTGATAAAAAGCTAAGAGATGAGCAGGCAGGTTTTCGGTCAAACAGATCCTGTACTGATCAGATAGCCACATTACGTATTATAATAGAGCAAAGCATTGAACTGAACTCACCACTTTACATTGGATTTATAGACTATGAAAAGGCATTTGACAGCATAGATAGGGAATCTCTTTGGAAATTGATGGGGCACTATGGAATCCCACAGAAAATTATCAACTTAGTAAAGGCAATATATAAAGACATGAAATGTCGAGTTCTTCATGAGGGAAAGCTAACAGATGCATTTGAAATAAAAACAGGTGTCTGACAGGGATGTCTTTTGTCGCCTCTCTTATTTTTACTGGCTATAGACTGGGTTATGAAAACAGTAACTGCTAACACAGCGGCGTCCGTGGCTAAGGCGTTGCGTGTCCAACTCGTAAGCCAGCATACCGCGATCGAAACCCACTGCAGGCTGCTTGGATTTTTGTCGTGGTATCGGACGTCGCAGGTCGACCCAGCCTAAAATGGGTACCAGGATGGGCTGTCCTGGGAAAGTAAAGACAGCCGGCGTAATGCTGACCACATTACCCACAGAGTGCTGATGGTCTGTAAAAATATGGGATGCTCTGCCCATATGCCCGATGCGCCGAAAGGCGTGAAAAGGGAACTTTACTTTACTTTTTTTTTTTAAACTGCTAACACCAAGAATGGAATTCAGTGGACCCCTACAAAACAGCTTGATGATCTGGACTTCGCTGATGATATTGCTCTACTGTCCCATTCACGGAATCAGATGCAAGATAAATTAAATATACTTGATGCAAGATCACAGCAGCTTGGTCTGAAAATCCATAAAGGAAAGACAAAGGTAATGAGAATAAATCAGGCAAATAGTAATGTGGTTTCTCTTAATAGCACCCCACTCCAAGATGTGGAGTCATACACCTATTTGGGCAGTAATGTAGATAAAGATGGAGGAACTGATAGAGATATTAAAATAAGAATACAAAAGGCAAGAGGGGCTTTTATAGCACTAGGGAATTTGTGGAGGTAAAAAAAAAAATTAAAAGAAATACTAAACTCAAAATTGTTAATTCTAATGTCAAATCAGTACTATTGTATGGAGAACAACTAAGACAATAACTAATAAATTACATTCATTAACTGGTGCCTGCGCAGAATAGAGGGAATTAAATGGTATGATAGAATAACTAATGTAGAACTTTGGGAGAGAACTAAACAGGCCCCAGTGGAATAAGAGGTGAGGAAAAGACGCTGGCATTGGATAGGACACACACTGAGAAAACAAGAGAACAGCTTAACTAGAATGTCTTTGCATTGGAACCCACAGGGGCATAGGAATAAAGGAAGGCCAAAAAACACATGGAGAAGAGAGCTGGAGAATGAAGTTAGAAAGATGGGAAGGACATGGGGAGAGCTCCATGCAATGGTAAAGGATAGAACGATATGGCATGAGTTGGTTGAGGGTCTATGCTCCATTGAGGGATAGAAAGGCAGAAGAAGAAATATTTTGCTGTATATCGTCAGGTGCATTACTGTAGGTTAGTTGCGTATCCTTTACAGGACGTTGCAGAACCAACCCCAACAGTCCCTGGCTGTTGTGTGGTTTTTCTAGGCAAATTTACGTCCAGTAGTTTGCCATTGCTTTCTGGACGGTCAGATTTCTTGATACCACTGTCAAAACCAACACAAGGCGTAAGGCCCGCAGCTGGGATCCAACCCAGCATCCCGGCATTACGAAGCATTGGCATCGACTTAGGTGCATTACTACAGAGTTGTTTCTTTATATTTAAGGACAGACCATTTTTGGCACTCTCTCATCACTTAAATGTCCAATAATTGCTGTAGATCATTTGCATTTTCAGCTCTCACTATACAGATTATGGAGGATATATAGACCCACTGCCCCCCCCCCCCCCCCTTCCTTCTCCCCAACAAGCGTGATGTAAGAGGTGGCTGAGTGGTCTCGAGGTATGGCGTCCACCTCGAGTGCTGAAGGTCCCAGGTTCAAGCCCAGGTGAAGGCTGCAATTTTTTTGCATGGACTTCTGGTAATTTCCCCTCATCTCTGGGTAGTAAGATCGGACACCCGTTCTTGTGCACGTAAAAAATCCCTTGGCAGCTGGAAATCAAAAAGAGTAGCCTAACGGTGCTGCCCTGGCCAAATTTTGAGTTTAAAATCTACCCAAAGTATTTCAGGACCCTTGTCGGTGCAACGAGTTTATGCGCTGAGCTGAGATTCTTCGGGCTCAGGCTTGATTTAGAAGTAGATCGGAGCTGATCTGTTAAAAAAACATTAGCATAATGAAGCACAAAATGAATCCTTTTCTTGCTGAAATACATATACTACTGTCAAGTTGTTTTATTCTATCCAGAACCTAGGTGTTGCATACACATCCATTTTATAGATCTTGCTTATTTATCTGCAGACTGTTGGTTCCTTGCCTCTCAGGTAGATGCATTCTGACTTAGAAGCAAGCTCCCAATTAGTAGACTCTTATGACATGCTTGTTAGGGAGGCTGTGGGTATATTCGTGTTGCCTTCCACCCCCCACCTCCACACAATGGAGCCCCAGAACTCACACAGGGAACTAACCTAGTAACAGATTCCCTACCAGGAGCCTAGCCAGTGTAGATAGAATCATCGTTTCCTTGAATACAAGTGTATTACAAGGGACCAGCTGTCTGCACACAGATAAGCCAGATCTCTAAAGTGAATGTGCACACAGCACGCCAGTCCTGGGACAAGACCAAAGTGCAAAGTGGGAAAGTGAGCCAGGATTTTCAGCCTGTGAATGCTAAGAAGAAAAGAAGGAATAAAGTGCAAAGTGGGAAAGTGAGCCAGGATTTTCAGCCTGTGAATGCTAAGAAGAAAAGAAGGAATAAAGTGCAAAGTGGGAAAGTGAGCCAGGATTTTCAGCCTGTGAATGCTAAGAAGAAAAGAAGGAATCTTGAAACGGACATAGCACAACCATTATTTTCAGGATAAAAGGAAAGAAGATCATAAATATTTATATTTAGGATGACCATAGCATAGCATCTGTATTTTGAGCTGAGAACAGGACATCCCAAGCAATTCAGTTTAACCCGCCTCCCTCTCCCCACGCACAAATTATTCTAGAATGTATTATTATTGTTAACTAATTAGGGAACTAATACATGTTAAGAACTGGAGAAAATATAGGCATATAAATTGCATAAGATAAAATAATTAATAAATAAAAACATACTATAATTAAAATGTCCATCAACACATTTCAGGCATATCTAAAACTGAAATCTCATGAGGTTTAAAAACATAAGAGTATGTTCTGTTTTCAAGCTTATTCCTACATTTTTATTAGATTGCACAATCTGTGGGGTTTTTTTTGGAATACTGACAGGAAGACATGGGCGCACCTAAAAAAAAAAAAATGACTGTCCTGGTGGAAACGAGACTGTCCCGGTGAAAATGCCACATTTGGTCACCCTGTTTATTTAATCCTGCTTATTGTCACTAAATATTTAATTTCTTGGTTTGCATTTTTTTATGTATATAGAAAATTGTCACAATCTCAACAGTATAAAATCAGATGTTGAGATGGCAGGAGGTGCAGTATTACGTGACCGAAAAGCCAAAAGCAAGGACACTAAAGCAGTAAAAGCACAGACAGAAAATGGAATACAAGCTTCATTGCCAGACAAAAGAGATGAGAATGTTGGAGGGAGTCCTGTAAATGAAAACTCAGAAAACAGCATCTCACTCAGCAGTAACAAGAAAGCAAGTGGAAAGGTAATTAAATATTAATTTTCCCCGTGTGGGTTCCAGGGCCCTATTATAGGGAAAAAAAGAATATACCCACTGCCTACCCAAAAGCATGTCGTAAGAGTCGACTAATTGGGAGCTTCCTTCGAAGTCGGATTGCATCTGCCTGAGAGGCAAGGAACCAGCAGTCTGCACACAAATGAGTCAGATCTGTAAAACAGATATGCACGCAACACTCATGTTTTGGAACAAAACTGCAGTCCAGAAGTGGATGAACAACCAGAACTTTCCACCAGAGTTTACAGCTGGTGAATGCGAAGAAGAAGAAAAAATATTAATTCTCATAAAAGCTAGCTAGTCTGTGTGTTTTCTGAGGCTCCAAAAGGGGGAGGGGGGGAATAGACTGTTCCTTTGCAGCCAGAGTGCTTGTGCCAGAGAGGCAAGCAACCAATAATCTGCATTTAAATAAGTCAGATCTGTAAAATGGATGTGTATACAACATTCAGGTTCTGGAACAAGACCAAAGTCCGAAGGTGGATGACGACCAAAACTTTCTGCTAGAGTTTAAAGCTGAGGAATGTGAAGAAGGCAGATAATAGACACACTGCCCTTCTAACAAGCTTATCATTGAAGGCAACTAATTGGGGATGTTTCCTTAGAAGTCATAGTGCATCTGCCCAAGAAGTGAGAAACCAACAGTCTGCATACAGATAAGCCAGATCTGTATTACTTAAGTTTTTGGGAAAAAGATGAAAGTCCAGAAGTAAACAAACAACTGGAATATTTAGCCAGAGTTTACTGCAGGTGAAGGCGAAAGAAGAAGAGGAGAAACAAGCAAATATTTTGCTTTTCTTTTTTAGTCTTGGGTTGTGGAGATGAAAAAAATAAGACTTACTGGCACTAATCAAAATCTTGGTGCACCAGTCCATAATTTGACTTATCCGCAGACTGGATTCCACTCTCTGTTTCTTTGTGTCTTACTGCCTGTCTGCTCCTCTCTCTCTCTCTCTCTCTCTCTCTCTCTTTCTCTCTCTCTCTTTCTCTCTCTCACACACAGACACACTCATCTTTGGACTACCAGTGTACTAGTTTTGTGGTTAGATGTTTTTGGAAGTCAGGATGAGAAAATAATGTAGGAGACTGGTCACATCACAAATTGGAAGTCAGTATGCTATGCCTAGGCTGCTGTCGTGACAATGTTCCACTATTATAAACCTTATTAAAAATAATGATATACAAGCAGGTGATTAAAAGATTTATTTTAATCCCCAGCAGAAGAACCTCCCTCACCTTATCTCGGATTCGAGCAAGTGTGATTTGTTCCTGTGTGATAATGTTGTGTTATAACCTTTCGGCGAGCCACTAAGGTCTTGGTAATCAGGAATAGGAAAACAATTTCTTGTCTCATTTAACCAGCTCCTAGGAATGAGCGGCGGTTATATTAAGACTTTTTTTGACCGCACGTCAATTAGTGCACCAGGGCAGCCGCCAAGCACTCCATACCGAACCAGATAAGCCTGCCACTGAGCTGCCACGCCACTGACAAGGCCCCTCTCAGCTTCCGATATTTAACTCTTTTTTTTCATCATACATGCGTTTGTGCGTAATCCTTTTTTATTTTTTTTTATTTTTAACTTTTCTTTTTGCCACACATGGTGTAGAAGTAGAGGACATAGGTATAGAACTAAGGTCTCAATGTAATCTATTTATCCTGGCCTCATCTCTCACTTATGACATGTCTTTAGCATACCACAATGTTTGCTACTGTATGGTAACATCCTTCATAATTAATATTTTAACAGGACAAATCCAGCAAAGAAAGCAAGAGCCTGTGTATGACATTGTGTAGCAAGATCAAATATGTCCTGTTGCTCATCTTCATACCACCCTTCCTGAATTATGCTTCCTTGCAAAGGGAAGCTGTTGAACTCAAGCCAGCTGGTAGATATGACCTTTTCAGTGTATTGATAAATTTGTGTTTGCTTTTCTGGTTTGCCTCTTTTCTGATTGAAATATTAGTAGCTCTGAAAGATCATGACTAAGCTTTGAAAGATCGAGACTAAACATAGAAAGATCACCATGTCTTGTCGTCATACCATCTACACAAAACATTGCAGCACCCTTATGTCTTCTACGACAAAAACTTGACAAAATTGCTGTGTCTTCTGCACATAGAAAGATCATCATGTCTGCTTCACTAAGGAATTCCAGAGAATTTGGATTAAAAAGCTCAACAAAATGGGGAAGCAGAAAAACATGCACAAAACAACACAAAAAACTAAACATTTTGTTGAGCTTTTTAGTCAAATTTCTCTGGAATTCCTTGTGTTAGCTTGACTGCAGCCACCCACGCATTTTCACTGCTTTACTAAACATGGGAAGATCGTCATGACTTCTACACTAAATGTGGGAAGATCACTACATCTTCCACAGTAAACATGTGAAGATCACCGTGTCTTCTACACTAAACATGGCAAGATCACCATGCCTTCTAAAGTAAACATGAGAAATCAATAATGTCCTTTATGTTAAAATGAGAAAACATCATGTCTTCTAAACTAAACGTGGAAAAAACATTACGACCTTTACAATAAAATGAAAAAATAATCATGTCTTCTGAACTAAACATGGGAAAACCATTACGACCTTTACACTAAACATGTGAAGATCACCATGTCTTCTACACTAAACATGGGAAAACCATTACGACCTTTACACTAAACATGTGAAGATCACCATGTCTTCTACACTAAACATGGAAAACCATCATGTCTTCTACACTAAACATGGGAAAACCATTACGACCTTTACACTAAACATGTGAAGATCACCATGTCTTCTACACTAAACATGGGAAGATCAAAATGTCCTCTACACTAAACATGGAAAACCATCATGTCTTCTACACTAAACATAGAAAGATCATCATGTCTTTTACACTAAATATGGAAAACCATCTTGTCTTCTACACTGAACATAGAAAGATCATCATGTCTTCTATACTAAACATGGAAAGATCACCATGTCTTCTACAGTGAACATGGGAAGATCACCATGTCTTCTACACTAAACATAGAAAGATCACCATGTCTTCTACACTAAACATGGAAAGATCACCATGTCTTCTATACTAAACATAGAAAGATCACCATGTCTTCTACACTAAACATAGAAAGATCACCATGTCTTCTACACTAAACATAGAAAGATCACCATGTCTTCTACACTAAACATAGAAAGATCATCATGTCTTCTACACTAAACATAGAAAGATCACCATGTCTTCAACAGTAAACATGGGAAACCATCATGTCTTTTACACTAAACATGGGAAGATCGTCAAGTCTGCTCCATTAAACATGAGAAGATAACCATGTCTTCAACACTAAACATTAAAAAAATTAAAATATTGTGTCAAAATTGTAAACCAGACAACCAAGTGCGTGTAGACTGAAAGAAGCTGCCATGCAGCGACACAAGAGTCAAGTTATATTACCCTAGGTTGAAGCTCTTCAGTCTGTACAGTGTACAAGGTATCCCATAAGTATTATAACAGAGGAAGATCATCAGTACCACTACAAGCATAACCCCACTGGTGCTTATATGTGTTCTTCAGCAGGGGGGGGGGGGGGGGGGGGGGGGGGGGGGGGGTGGGGGGGGGGGGGGGGGGGGGGGGGGGGGTGGGGGGGGGGGGGGGGGGGGGGGGGGAACATCAAAATGTGTTTTCAGAACAAAATTTTTTTTCTGTGTAATTAAACCTAAAGGACACCATACGTTTCATATCGTCATGATCGCCAGTTTTCTTTCACATTTTAACTGTTTGTATGTTTAATTGATATACCTGCAAAGAACAGCTCTCATTTGGACACCACGGGTAAAGAGAAAAAAACGAGTGTCCAAAAACAACAGGGAGATGAACGATGGAAAGTGAACTGAGCTCTACATCTCTGACATGGAAACACTGCACTAAAGATTGCACAGGGCAGGAAGGCATGGAAAGTCCTCTCTGATGCCTCATGAACGACTAGGCATACAGAGATTTTACAATGTTTAATTGAGGAGTCATTTTGTAATTCAGTAATGTAAATAGTATTGTTGGTTGGTTTGATTCCAGGGGAGCTTTACGACATTGGCTGGGGACAGAAGTTGTTTTTGTCCTGTCAGGGCAAGGGCGCTCCAACAGGTGATTTGTCCCCTGAATTATGTTTTAGAATAACAGGTTTCTTGTCATCGTCATTGTCATCATCATTGTCATTATCATTGTCATCATCATTGTCATCATTGGCATCAACATTGTCATTATCATTGTCATCAACATTGTCATTATCATTGTCATAATCATTGTCATTATCAATGTCATAATCATTGTCGTCATCATTGTCATTATCATGTCATTAACAATGTCATCATTATTGTCATTATCATTGTCATCATCATAGACATTATTATTGTCATCATCATTGTCATTAACAGTGTCATCATCATTGTCATCATCATTGTCATTATCATTCTCATCATCATTGTCATTATCATCATCATCATAATAGACATCATCTGTCATTATCATTCTCATCATCATAGACTTCATCATTGTCTCCATCAATCTCATCATTATTGTCATTATCATTTTGATCATTATAAATATCATCATTGTCATCGTTATTGTTATCATTTTAATTATCATTGTCGTCACCATTGTCATCACCTTTGTCATCATCATTGTCATTATCATTGTCATCAACATTGTCCTCATTATTATTGTCATCAAAATAGTCATTATCATTTTCATCATCGTTGTTGTCATCATCATCATCATCATCATCATTGTCATCATCATCATCGGCATTATGATCACATTCAAAATCTTCTTCTTGGCATTCTCTTACATCATCTCACTGATACCAGGTTGTAGCCTGGCGTTTGCCAGCTGTAAACTCCAGTGGAAACTTCTGGTCTCGATGGATCTTGATCTTGTTCCAGGACCTGAGTTTTGCACATTTATCCATTTGACAGATCTGGCTTATCAGTATGCAGACTATTGGTATCTTGCCTCTCATGCTGAGGCACCCCAGTTTAAAAAAAAAAAAAAACCCTGATAAGTCACTTTGTACAACATGCTTGAAAAGAAGGCAGTGGGTTCCTCCCCCCCCCCCCCCTCCCCACCAACAACAGGGCCCTGGAACCCACACAAGGAATCTTCACATTCAACTTTTGTCATCAAGTATCGTGGAGAGAACAGTTTGCTATTGACTGCTGTTCTTCTGTATGCATGTATAATGTCTTCAGTGTCTTTTTTTTTTCCTTTAGTGTCCTCTTGCTCCCCATGTGTGTGTTGAATGTTTTTTTTTATTTTGTTTAAAGGGAAAAGAATAGACTCACAGCCCCTTAACAAACCTGTCATAAGAGGCCATTGACTAATTAAGGGTTTGCTTAAATAGATATTTTAAACCAAAAGTCGCAGATATCACTTCCTAGCTGTAAACCACAAAAGGCCAACCACCATTTTGAGGGTAAACATAGATGACAAAAATAAAATATTCAAAAACTGTCAGAGTTGTATATCTTTACCAGCTTTTCTTGAGTTATACAGTTGGCATATTTTATTGTCAGGATGTTGACAAGCACATCTGAGTGAGAAGCAACAGGAGAGAAACATACACATATGTACATACACTACGGATGTATCTGGAGTGTTGTAAAGATAACTTAACTCATAACTCCTGTACAAAGAGACACACACTAATAAAGAGAGAAACACCAAAAGTTTTATACATATATATATATATATATATATAGAGAGAGAGAGAGAGAAATACATATGCATACATATGTACGTACAGAGAGATAAATACACAGACACACATAAATAGAGAGACAGACAAAAACACACCCATATATATATATATATATAAAGAGATTGGGGGGGGGGGTAGGGGGCGAGAGATACATGTCATGCAGATAGAAACACTCACATAAACAGACAGGCATAAATATATAGAGATATACATTCACGGACATAAATACAGAGACCCATACATACATGTACAGACATACGTAAATAGAGACACAGAGAGAGACACACACACATATAAACACAGAGAGAGAGAGAGAGAGAGATAAATACAGAAAGAGAACCATATGCAAAAAAGATAAAGACACATACATACTTAACACATGTACCTACAGAGAGATAAATGCAGAAAGAAAGACACACATGCACACTGGGAGAGGCTCAAATTCGGATAGACACACACACACACACACACACACACACATATATATATATATTTAGAGAGACGGAGAGATAAATACAGAGTTATGCACATATATACAGAGACATACATACAAGGAGATATAAACACAGAAAAAAGATGTGTATACACCAGAACTGGTGGTGCTTTATGCAGCTGATTGTGTGTGCAACTACTGATCTGTTGTGACTGCTACTTCCATCAGCATTGAAATGCATTTCTGGTGTCAGACTCTTTGTTTTAGCACTTCTCATGGCTGCCTTATACATTTAATGCATGTATATGCTGAAACTGCAGTCTGTGTAATTTAAATCTTTTTTTTTTTAAACTATGGGCTGACCAATTTGCTGTGGAAATGCAACTGCCTTGCCTTGCTTATTGCCTATAAATACAGACAGAGACGCATACATACAGAGAAAAAGAGAGAGTGAGGAGGACAGTTGCTCTTGCATTGATTTAGTCTCTACTTTTTCGCTAAAAATAACTGCAGCTTTTTTGAAACTATGTTGGTTTTCAGTCATTTTGGATGCTCCAACTGGAATGAGCTCTGATGTTTGGACATTAGTTGCAACAAAACTGGCTGAGCACACACATGTAAGACTCTGTGGACTAGATCGTTTACGTTGTGTTTGTTTCCTGTCTATTTTATTGAAACACATACACAAAGAACTAAATAGATTTCAGCGAATTAAGATATGCGGAACAGACACTACTTGTTTTTTTTACAGTCTGACTGTGATTTTTCCACCCTTCAGCCTACATATTTTCAGGTGTATGTAGCTCTTATTAGCTTTCCAGGTTTTTTTGTATTTTATTTTCAATAGACTCAGCCCATTGCCCAGTGGGAAAGCCTTTCTTGAGCCCTGAAATATCACTACCATTGCTGTAAGTATTTACCACTTAAGCCAAGAAGGCATAGGTGTCTTAGAGCTTGAAGATTTAGGGCTGCCTGGCAATTGCAGTCACGGTGGATTATGCAGGTTATGATTTTATTTTGGCCCCCAACAGGAAAAAAACCTGTAACCTTACCGAGGATTAGAACCTGGGTAGACCCACAAGGTCTGTGGCTTAGGCGTTGTGAATGCGCCTCTTAGTGCCGGGTTCGATTCCAGCTAAAGACAACTTGTCTTGCATTGGTTTCAACAGTGGTACCGAGAGCTGACCATTCAGATGCAGTGGCAAACCACTGAATGTAAAATTTGCTTAGAAAAACACAACAGCCAAAAAAAAAAAAAAAAAAAACCTTGGGTTGGTTCTGCAACATCCTGTAAAGGTTACGCAACTAATTTTTTTATTACCCTCACCTAAGAGCCCAGTCTTCTTAAGAGAAACCTACCAAGATAAGCGATATGTGGTGTCATATCTGCCTTCATTCTCAGTTAGCCATTTCCCCACTAAGGGTTCTGTTATGGGGAAACAAATAAGAAATATAAAAAAGCTAAGAACAGAAATAAAAGCTTGGGCATGTGGAGAAAAAAAGTCTGGCGAAATAAATCTGCCGCTAGAATACTTTGGTTAATATCAACACTTCCTACCCTCTCTTAAAAGAATAGAGAACATTTAGATAAATTTGAATGATAAAAATATGTTTGTATAAAGATGTGATATTATTGTGATTCCGCAGTGAATGTTTGGAAGTTTTGTTTTTAAACTGACAAATGTAGAAGGGCAAAGAAGATTACTGCTCAGATAAGTTCTTGAGATTTTGTTTTAATCCTGTTTGTGTAAGTCATGAGACCCCATTTAAGGGGAGAAAACTAAGACCCGCTTCCTTCTAACAAGCATGTGGGTAAGCGTAACTGACTGAGGGCGTCTGCCTGGTCTCGAGGTGTGGTGTGCGCCTCGAGTGCTAGAGGTTCTAGGTGAAGGCTGGAAATTTGTTAGTTGGCATGGACTTCTAGTAATTTCCCCTGGTCTCTGGGTAGTGAGATTGGGCGCCCATGTATATTGTTGCGCACGTAAAAATCCCTTGCTCATTTGGAAATTAAAAAAGAGTAGCCTAACGGCGCTGTGAGGGCAAAATTTTGAGTTAAAAATCTACCCAAAGTATTTGAGGATCCTTGCCGATGCTACGCAGTTCATGCACTGTGCTGAGATTCTTCAGACTCAGACTTGAGTCAGAAGTCATTTATGGGTTACTACCCTTGTGCAATGATGTTGATCCGCCATCTAAACCTAAACGTTACTGGAAACCAGTCTCCAGTCTGTAAGGCCAGCTCTTGTTCTGATGGCGCTTTAACTTTCTGTATAAATAGCTCTAACACAATCTAGCATTGTAATGTTATTTGGCCTATTGATTTTAAATGTTAGAATTTGTTGTCATTTCTCTTATTTTGTAGGTTTGTGTCTATGACAGAGCTGGCTTAGGCTTTAGTGATCGACCTTTGGTAAGTGAACAGTATTATATTTTTAATCCTTTTGCCCTGGTGACCAAGAAAAAAAAAGCTAAACTCACATACTTTTTATTTTTAGGGTCCTGCGCGTTAAAAAAAAATTTGCACAAACTCAGTTTATCATCTAAAACACAAACAAATACTTAAAAAACTGAGGGGGGGGGGGGGGGGGGGGGGGGGGTTATTTCAATAAAAATGAATGCAGCATGGATAACATCTCTTAGATCCATAAATTAATTCGAGCTTGAGACTTGACCCGGTAACCATGGTAGCCAGTGAGGAGATATGACATAGACATTTCTACAGGTGAGGCAATTTTTTTTTCACCCCTTTTTCCCCCAATGCTGTTTTTAGTAAATTTGAGTCATCCCCTGTCATGCTGAACATTTGCGCAGACACAGATGCAGTGAATTCTATTAGCTAGATGTCTCGTAAACAGGTCTCTGTAGCGAGTCAGGAAAGCGGCTCTTACAGGGAAATGATACCAACCAGAAGTGTGGCTTCTCAAGGCAAAAAGGATTCAGATTGTATGTGAAATCATTTTAAAAGATCCCTTTTGATGCCAGTGATGCATTGAGGACATGCTTGCCTCATATTTGTTTATAGATTAGTTGGTATTCGATGGGTGATTTGATCATCATCGTGCCAAATGCCTTTACTTCCAAGGACATCTCCTGGTGCCCAGTTCAGGCTGGGTAAACCAGAAAGCCAAGCCAATTTTTACAAATCTGCCCAGTGCAGATTCAAACCCAAGTTCTTTATGCTGGCAGGCAAGTGTGTGACTTTACCTGTCTGCCTGTTTGTTAAACTATTTGATTTTTTCTGTCACTGTTCTACACAAGCATTCATTCTTTCACCAGTGTTACTGTTTGCCTTTGTGTGTCTTTGTTTTTCAATGGGTTTTTTTTCCAACCCATCTTATTGTCCATCTACCCATCTTTCTTTTCTTATGCCTATCCGTTACTCTTTGTATCTGCACATGATTGATTCTCTTCATTTATAAATATAATTTTCTGTATATCCATTTTCCTATTCACCTATTCATTGTACTCTATGTATGTGTGTATGTGTGCGCGTGCGCGCACGTGTGCATGTATGTTTCTCTGTATGTACAAGTATATTTCTATCCATCTTATTGTCCATCTAACCCATCTTTCATTTCTTCTATCTATCCATTACTCTCTCTATCTGCATATGCCTCATTCTCTTCATTTATAAATATAATTATCTGTCCATCTATATAAACATTTCCCCATCCACCTATTCATTGCACTCTCTCTCCATATACACACACACATGCACACACACACGCACATACTTCTCATGTCTCCGAGGTTGACACCAGATGGGAGAAACAAGAATCGACCCACTGTCTTCCCAACAATCATGTTGTAGGAATCAACTAACTACGGACTTCCTTTGAAGTCAGAGTGCATCTGCCCGAGCGGCAAGGGACAAACAACTGCACACAAATAAGCCAGGAAAATAGATGTACACGCAAAACTCAGGCCCTGGCACAAAGCCAAAGTCTAACTAGATGAACAGCTAGGATTTTCCACCAGAGCTTACAGCCGGTGAACAAAGAAGAAGTCACTTTCCATGACATGCTCTAGGGTGCTATGTTTTTTTTTTTTTTTGGACATGTTTTTTTTTTCACTCAAAATGTTACCCTTGGATCTCACATTGGGATATCTAAGAAGTAATTACCTATATATATTTATGCATGTCTGGCTTAGCACACCTCAGCTGCAAAAAACCAACCATCTACAAAGTTTTTAAAAGAAATGAAACAAACTAACCAAGTTCAGTTAGGTATATTTTAATTATTGATAATATGAATTAACAAATCAACTGATAGTTTTTCTGATAGTGTGAAATCCCACTTCAAGATGTGTGAACAGACATATTTGTCCAGTAACAAAAAAACAAAATTGGAGGAACAGAAAGGGATATTGAAAAAAAAATTGTTATGGAAAAGCAGAATTAAGTAATATTAAACATAGAAAACGCTTTTCCCCTCATGTGGCCTCAGTGCCCAATTGTATTAATTTTTTTATTTTTATTTTTTCTGGAAACGGGAGCAGGGGAAATAGACCACTGCTCCTTAACAAGTGTGAGGTAAAAGGCGACTGATTAAGAATTTGCTCAAATCGGTTTGTTAGACGGAAGGCGCAAATATTACACTCTAGCTGTAAACCGCAACACAGTGTGCTAGCCACCCTGTTGATGGTGAACAAAGAAGAAAAAAAAGCTCTTTAAAAGGTTAACTCAGTAAAGGTCCTATCTCCAAGACAGATGGTGCTAGGCCCATATTTGTATAGGCCAATCGACATCACAGTGGGAGATGTAGTGTCAAGCAGTCCACTTTTACTTCCTAAAACATTTCCTGCTGCCCGTTTCAACTCAGGAGATCTGGGTTATTTTAAATACTATATGTTTCCATGTGTAAGTTCCCCCCATCTTTTTTAGCCTAAAAGTAAGAAATTAATATTTTAAACACATTCTGTGTATAAGCTCACTCCAGATTTTAAACTTTAAAGAATTTGGGGAAACATATTGTTAAAAACACATCTATGACCATCCTAAAAACACTGTGAAAGTGACCATAAACACTGTCGGAGTGACCAGTGGGAAAGCCAGATTTCTTTAGTATGCCTTGGCCAAATATTATGGCATATTTATTTTTGTATGCTTTCACCTAAAGTTATGTCGGAGCATACATGATGTGATTGTTGGGATTCAGGAGTAAGAGTTAGACATATATCAGACATTGACTGAAAGATTTGAGACCAAAACAAGAGTATTTTTGTGTATCCTTGACAGAACAAATCAGCCGCACCTGAAGATCTGAGTACACATCTCTTGGAGCAAGGGAGCTATTTTACAGTGGAGAGGTTTGTGACATTTTTTCACTAGATAAAGACTTTGACCACAACTAGGTTTGTTTCATGGACTGTGTTTTCGGTCAATAATGCAGTGTTTATGGAAATCCCCAAGGATTGTCACTGGAGCTACAGAGTTTATGCTTTGTGCAGTGTTCTTGACAGCCAGCTAGCCACTCTTGGAAGAGAGATTAAGCCATACAGAATAAAAGCAGATGGAAGGAAGTGCCCCCCCCCCCCTCCCCCGCCACCCCTTTGACTTAACCCTTTTTTATTAACTGAAAGAATAAGTACACATGAAATCATGAAATTACCACGTGATCTTCTTCTTCTTGTTTCTGGCCAGAATGGGGGAAGACATTCACAAGCTGATATCCACCAGCAGTCAGCAGCCGCGCCCATTAATCCTTGTTGGAGCAGAGCTTGGAGCATTGGTAGCACAGTTTTACGCACATATTTATGAAAGGTAACACTCCATGTTGTTTTACTGAAGCCTATTCTTCTTCTCTGTCTGCCCGTAAAATGGCATTTGGCATGTTTTTCTATTGTGGTTTACAGCCAGGCTTGGATAGCTGGACCTTATGGCTCTTCACATCTGGTTTCAGAAACCCTTAAACACTTGCCTTAATGAAAAATCACTGGTAGAAGAGGTAGACCAAGAGAAACGATGGTGGATGGCTTAAGACAGTGGCATGGAGGAATATCATCAGTGGAATTTATCCAGAACGCCAAAGACCGAGATCTGTGGAGATGCATGAATGCCTACGCCACCTGGCTGGAGGATATGAATTACTGGAGAGCGGCTGGCTGAACGGTTAGAATGTGGGGCACTCATTCAGGAGACCCAGGTTCGAATCCTCATCAAGGTTGGGGATTTTTTGCTGTGGGGTCGGGGGGATAAAATCATAACCTGTACAGTCCATGGCGACAGCACTAGCCATGCGACCCTAAATCCTCAGACTCAAAGACCTCCCGCCTTCAGCATACACTGCAAAAGTGGTAAATTCGGCCAGTAACGGCAGTGTATTTTTTTTCTAAATGAATGGTTAAGTAAATAATTTGACTGGAAAATTTAAAGAATAAAGATAAAGGCTTTAGCCAGAATTGCTGATTGTATTTGTATACATCTTTTCCATTCCCTCAGTTGAGCTTTCTAGTCGCATTTTATGTTTTATTTAGTAAAGCTCTATTGTCTTGTCCACTGAGTTTTCCTGACATAGTTTGTGTTGTCTTTAGTACTCTATTCATAAAGACCTTGGTCAAAACGTTCGGTTGTGTTTGTGTGTTCCCTTCACATTCCCTCCATTAAGCTTTCTAGTCACATTTTATGTTCTTATTTTTTTTTTCAGTACTTTCTGTTGTCAGCCTGTCTGCAGTGACACCCAATTAGGTCATGCCTTTTATGAATGCTTGTTATAGGAAAGTGTGGGTTCTGGGGAACCTTCTTGGGGCCAAAAAAGAATCTATCTATTGCTCTCTCAGACATGTAAAAGGCGACTGATTAGGAGTTTGCTGAAAGTGGATGTATTGGGCCAAAAGGTGCAGATATCGCAGCCTAGCTGTAAATTTCAATACAGTGTACCAACTGCCCTTTTAGGGGAAAACCAGAAAAAGAAAAAGTGGACCTCTCTAGATTGTTCTTCTTCTTCTTCTTTTGTTCACTTAAAAAAGATTATCTATATCTGCAATGTTGTCTCTGGTAGGAATTTCACTTTTTTTTTTTTAATTCATTCAGCGGCCCGTAATATTGTTATATTGATGTTCTCAACAAGTGCACTACATTTGTTGTATTCTCACATTATATATGAAACCACACTTCCCCCCCCCCCCCTTCCCCCCCCCCCCCCCCCCTCTCCGTGAGGGTTCCAGGGCCCTATTCTGGCAACAAAGGAACAGACCCATTGTCTCCCCAACAAGCATGTCATAAGAGTTGACTAATTAGGGGGCTTCCTTTGAATTCAGAGTGCATCTGCCTGAGAGTCAAGAAACCAACAGTCTGCATACAAATAATTCAGATCTATGAAATGAATGTGCTCACATCACTCAGGTTCTGGAACTAGACTAAGGTCCAGAGGTGGATGCACAACAAGAACTTTCCACTAGAGTTTACAGCCGGCGAACATGAAGAAGAAGAAACCATACTGTTATTTTGCTATTTATGGGTGTGTGTTTTCTGTCCTTTTGCTGTAGTGATTTTTAAGAAACCATTTGCACACCCATGCATTACCAGGGCCCTCATATCAAGCAAAGAATAGTATGACTATAATCTGCCAGGCATGTCATAAAATGTGAATGAGGCTAGGGTTGGGATGGCTGCCTTATTCCATAAGATATTACAGCTACAAAAACTAGCCAGCCATGACAATGTCTAAATTAACCATGTCACCTCAGTAATGCTTTTAAAAAATTGGTCATGACCCAATGGAAATTCCTTAAAAAAAATTTTTTTTCACAGGTCACTAATAAATGTTGTAAACATTTATTTATCTACATTTATTTTCCAAATTAGTTAAGATATATTGGTGGCTTAGGTGTTGTGAGTCTTGACTCGTAATTCCAACATACTTGATCGAAACCCACTGCTGGCTGCGGGGATTTTTGTCATGGTATGGGGCGTCGCAGGTCAACCCAGTCTAAAATGAGTACCAGGATGTATGTTCGGGGGAAGTAAAGACTGCCAGTATAATGCTGACGACATTCGTTACCCACCTAGTGCTGATTGCTGGGTGCTCTTTCCAAATGCCCGATGTGCCTAAAGGCGTGAAAAGGGATCTTTACCTTTTTTTTTTTAATTTTACCTCATTATAAAGGGAGTTATCAGTAAACAGAACAAAGTGAAGCATTAAACGGAATGTACTCTTGGGGCCACACACACATACACAAAGTTTTATAGGGAAACTCAAAAGTGGGAGCAGGAGTGACCAGAAGAGATCAAATCAGAAATGAGGTCATAGGGGAAAAGTTGGCACAGATCCAATTGTAAATTACATATAAATACAGCAAATCAAATGTTTGCCCACTCAGAGAGAATACCTTGTGATGCGGTTCCATGCAACCCCCTACAGCAAAAGAGGAGAAGGATGTAGAGCACAAGGTAGACCAAGAACAAGATGGAAAGATAACAACATCAGAGAAACTCTACAACAGCAGGATGTGTATGTGGTCAAGTCGGCCAGAAGAAGCAAGAAGCAGAAACTTATATCTCCCTTTACACCCAAAGTTTTAAAAGAAGACGTGAAAATAAAGAAGAAAAATAAGAAAACATAAAAAGACTCCTTTCCAGACTATCGAGTAGATGGGATTAACCCTGTATTTTTGTAGACCTGCCAGCAAGCAGTGACATATATGAATATTTTGGCAGCTGCCTTTACTTTCCATAACAGTTTCCTGATACTCATTGTAAGCTGGGTCAAACCTGGGAACCCAGATCAATTTTGGTTTTAATTCACACTTTAATTGGCATTTAGTCATAGGACCCCTGGATTTGATGGCAGTCATGCTAGCTACTGCACCCCATGTACTTATATGCTTTTATCTGAATCATTTCAGTGATGTCCTTGGTTTAGTACTTGTCAACCCACTACATGAAGATTTGTTTGAGCAGTCTGATGGAGCTTGGGTACAGCACTGGTGAGTTTTTTTCTGGGTGGAGTTTTTGGCCACGTTGTCAATAAAAATAAATCACAACTTAACAGCAAAAAGCATAAGCATGTTACAGTTCTGGTCTTTACAGTTACAGTGAACAAAAGTAAATATATTGATGTTTTTGGAAAAGTACCCATTTCCAATATTCAGGATCAGTTGCCACAAAATTGGTACTTTGCCCCGTATTAGTGGTAGAAACTGAAAGCAACAAAATCATAAAAGCAACAGAATCCCCTACGGGTAGTGAAGATGGAAAGACCGAAAATTCTGATTTGGAGTTGATGATGAGTACTGAACAGCCCTTTTTGTGTGAAAACTGTTAGTAGATCAATCGCAGTGACATCAGCATCCTTTATGATTGCTCACATAAGTATTCAACTAAAGAGACTTTTTGAAGTTGACGAGGTCATCAAAGCAGCTGTCTGTAAAGTGGCAAAGGTATTCTTCATTGGCTTTTAATAATAAAGCAGACACGCTACCTACCTTTTTTCTTCTTTTGTTCAATTCAGATAGATTATCTATATCTACATTGTTGTCTCTAGTATGAACTTCACTGTTGTAATTCAGTCAGTGACCCGTAAAGTCTGGCTTGCACTGGTGTTTCTATCTACTATCAAAGACATATCTCTTTTTCGGAACACTAAGATGAGGTGTACAAAAATAATGGGTAACAATTAGAGGACAGGCTGCAGAAAGAGGATAGTCAAGAGGATGGATTGGTGATATCAAAGGCACTTCACTCCACACAGAATGACAGTCCACTGTAAATTGCTCCTCCCCACAATGCTTGATGGCAGTTATTCTGGAACTTGATGATGAATGATAGAAGTAAGTTACAGTATAACAGGTTAGGTAGGAAGCAGAAGCATGTTACAATGCTGGCCAAATGAAACAAGTCAATTTTGGGGATGTTTTCAGGTCCTCTTACAAGGATGGGGCACATTGCCCATGTTATTGTTAAAACTAAATCACAAAATTCAAAGTCGTTGGTGTCTGTTTAACTGCATCAGATCTGATCTTATGTGGCTCAGTCTCTTTTTTTCTGAAGAGTGATCTGTCTTCCAAGAACATAACATAAAGAATTTTTTTCTGTAGCTCCAGCGATTCCCAGGGGTCTTTTTAAAAATTGCTCTCATGGCCTAAAAAGCTCAGTCCGTGAAATAAATCTGCACCATTTTTTGCCTCCATAAGAAATAAACTTGAACATCTTAAGTTCTGGAACAAGACTAAAGTTCAGAAGTGGACTAATACCAGAACATTCCGCTGGAGTTTACAGCCGGGGAACGTGAAGAAGAAGAGGAAAAAGAAGACAAATATGAAGCACATATTTTGACAACTGGAAAGATTTATGGAAAGAGAGAGAGCGAGGAAGACACCCTGAGAAGATTCTTGACAGCCTTGTGTCCTGGCATGGAGGTGTATCAGCTAATGAATGATATATGCCGTTGGACATTGGATTGTGATGAGGCATATCATTGGCAAGGCACTTGTCGCTGTCATTTGTTGTTGTGCAGTACACTTGCCACATGGTCACATAATTATAATTGCTTGCAATGCAGGTTTAGCAGCCTAACCCCCACGTATCAAACCTTACAGCTTGGAGCAGCCTTAGGAATCACTAGGCTTGGCCTCCTCGTTGGCGCTCTCAAACAGCCAATCATAGGTGAATCCGTCCCAGATGAAGTTGTTTTACGTCAGGTTAGTACTGCTACTTGATTATATTATGTAAACATTCCTTGATTCACCTGAACAAATGTATGGTCTCTTTATTTGAAAGCAAAAAAACTAGTAGAGGAGTAGCATGATCATCCACTTTAGAGAAAATCTGGCATCACCCTGCCACAAATATTGTCTCTTATACATCCAAATGAAACAAATCAACTTTCTTTTCCTCATGAATATTCAAGTTTTCCTATTTCTTCTGCTTGTGCATTTGTCCTTAAAGTGGCTGTTGATATATTGTTTTGGGATGTATAGCTAGGCTTGAATACCTCAAAATAAGGCCCCAAAGCCCATATGGATATTCCCACTATTGATGATGATATATGTTTTAAGCAAACTGTGGAAATTAGAAACAGTTTGCCAAATAGTTTCCCAAGTGGGTTCCAGAACCCAGTTTTTGGGAAAAAAAACAATAGCATGTCATAAAAGTTGACCAATTAAGCTTAAAGGTGTTTCCTTTGAAGTCAGGGTGCATCTTTCTGAGATGCGAAGAATCAACAGCCTGCATACAAATACGCCTGATCTGTGAATCAGATGCACACACAGAACTCAACTTCTGGAACAGGAATAAAGCCCAGAAGTGGACAGAAAACTGCTGTGTGACAGGTGGGTGTTTGGAAGAGCTGAATATAAGACAGGCCTGCGTGCCCAATTTGTAACCCTTTGAAAAAAAAAATTTTGCTCGTTTTTTCTTCTTCTTCTCCTCCTCCTTCTTCTTCTTCTTCAGTATTCTGAGCCCTTGAGATTTATTGCTGTAGATATCACCTGCCTCCATTCATCTCTTTGGTTGGCCTTCTCTTTGCGGTTGGTGGCACCAAGTGTTTGTAGGTCTGTCTGACCAAATGTTTGTAGGTCTGTCTGGATATTATCTCTCCATTGTCTACTAGATCTGCCTCATGGTCTGCGACCATTCATCTCCCTTGTGTATGCAGTTTTTACCTCTCTGTCATCTGACATTCTCCCAGAAATGCCCCAGCCATTTCAGTCTATTAGCTCTCATGATGCCAGTGATCAGTTTTAATTTAAACAGATTATAAATTTGGTTGTTGCCTCTCACTCTCCATTTCCCGCTGTTTGCATCTTTGAGTCCAGGGATCGTCGTAAGACAAATATTTGTATTAAGGCTTCATCTCTTTTAGTTGTGCTGCAAGTTTCAGAGCCATAAAAAATTACTGGTCTTATCAACGTGTTATAAATTTTGATCTTGGTGTTTGCGGGATAGAGACTTTGACTTTAGCAGATGTTGAAGGGCATAGTATACAGTAGACTTTATTTCCAGATTGTATTCTGGATTGTATTTCTTATCTCAGCATGTACAGTGTAAGTTTGCTCCTAAGTACTTGTATGGTTCTGTTAGTTTGATTCTCGTATTATCGACATGTATGTGGTCGAGTTTTCCCTGTATTGTTATTATCATGTGTTCTATTCTTATCTTGTTTTATAACTTTTCCTTTTTGTGAGCTGCTTCTTTGAAGAGAGACAGTGTTTTCACAGTCTCTAATTCATTTTCTCCAACAAATTCAATGTCATCTGCATGACCAGGTATTCTTGTAGTTTCTCCTATAGTACACTCTTGTTTCAATTTCCTTATAATCGCCTCTAGGGCCAAGTTGACAAGAAGTGGGGACACAACATCATCTTGGTTTAAATCAGATGTTATTTGAAGAGAGTCTGACTTCTACCTGTATATGTTTCTGTATTATAAGTGTCTTCCATACATAGTTTGGTCATGGTAATTAACATCATTGGTATTCCAAAGTCCTTCATAGCATTCCATAAACTGTTTCTATATACACTATCATAAGCCTTTTTAAAATCCACAAAAACAATATGTACAGCTAGCTCTTCTGTATTCAAGTTTTATTCTGCTGTTTGCCCAAAAATGAATATCTGATCTATTCTTGATCTGTCCTGTTGATAACCCGCTTGGTAATCGCCCCGTATATCTTCGACGTATGGTTTTAGCCTATTTAACAGTAGCGCCAAAAGTGTCTTATACTTGTAGATAATAGTGATATTCCTCTATACTTTTCATGTTTATACTTGTAGATAATAGTGATATTCCTCTATACTTTTCATGTTTATACTTGTAGATAATAGTGATATTCCTCTATACTTTTCATGTTTATACTTGTAGATAATAGTGATATTCCTCTATACTTTTCATGTTTATACTTGTAGATAATAGTGATATTCCTCTATACTTTTCATGTTTATACTTGTAGATAATAGTGATATTCCTCTATACTTTTCATGTTTATACTTGTAGATAATAGTGATATTCCTCTATACTTTTCATGTTTATACTTGTAGATAATAGTGATATTCCTCTATACTTTTCATGTTTATACTTGTCTCCTTTCTTAAAAACTGGTATTAATAATGACTTTTCCACTCATGGGGGATAATTTCTCTGTCTATCAGACTAGTGTCGGCTCTGTGGCTAAGTCGATGCGAACGCTTCGCTTCGAAATGCCGGGATGCCGGGTTCGATCCCAGTTGCGGGCAATGCGCCTTGCGTTGGTTTCGACAGTGGTATCAAGAAAGCCGACCGTCCAGAAAGCAATGGCAAGCTACTGGACGTAAATTTGCCAGGAGAAACCACAACAGCCAGGGGCTGTTAGGGTTGGTTCTGCAACGTCCTGTAAAGGATACGCAACAAACTTTTATCAGACTAGTTGTATTAATTAATTTATCTTTAACTGTAATGCATGATCACTTTCTTTTATAAGTTCAGCTGCAGTTGCATCAGTGCCAGGTGTTTTATTGTTTTTAAGCCATATTAAGACTCAACAAACACTCATATTAATTATGAGCCAGACAGCTCTTTGCCAGTGTCTTCGTGCTGAAGAGACTCCAGAAGATGTTTTGCTGTCTTGACGGAGCTGTAATGCAACGTATGGCCACACCCAGTAGACCTGACAGCTTAGCTTTGGGGGAAGCATAAAAGACATTGAGATGGCATCCCAGTTTATGGCCCACAGTGGATTATGTGTATGACCAGAGATCGCTGAAGAAGAAGGATTCTGTTCATTTTGACATCCTATTGATTTATTGTGTTTGTCTTGTGTTAATATCACTTTCAGAAATACCTCTTGTGTCATCCTCGTCATCTAAGTTCTGTAGTTGATGAACATTATTTCATCAATGAAACATTTTCTCAAATGAGGTAAGGGTTGCTATTTTTTTTTTTTAATTTCTTCCTCTTATTTATTTTGTATGTGTTTTATTAATAATAGACGACATTCAGTATCGGCTAATTTAAATTGTCTTTTAGTAAAATTTAGCCCACCTCCCCCTTACACCCCCTTACTGCTGTTTGCCGCAGCAGTGAAATTTAAAAGCCAAAAAATAAAATACCTTGCTGGCCACTAAGCTTCTGTTGCTTACCAGATTTTTGAGAAGTGGAAAATTTATAATAAAAAACAATTTTAGTGGGAACCAAACCAAGGTCAGTTTTGAAAATAATTTGGCTTGATGTGGATTCACACCCTAGACTTTGGGCTAGCAAACAAGTGTCTAGCCACTTTACTACTGTGGCTCCCTACAAGCTTGAGGGCAGGCAGATTGCATAAAAGGTTCAAGAAAACAAAATAGGTCACTGAAACAAGTCTCTAGATCATCATAAGCCAGCTCTCCCACCTCGTGCACTTTCCTATCTAAGGTATCACATATATCGTGTGCCCATCTTCATACTGGTCAGCCCCAGCCCCTCTTTCCTGGTGCGCTGCCTTCCGCTGTTATCTATTCCCAGTCCACCCTGGCGCTTGATGTGACCTGAATATTTCAGTTTCTGAGACAAGATGCTATTTACTAGCCAGTCTTACTTGATGTTGAAAGCTTTAGGATGTATTTCTCTTCTTCTTTGTCCATGGTATTCTGAGAATCTATAAAAAGCATTTCAGCTCAAAAGCCTCTATTTTCCTCTTTATGTACTGCGAGACAATCCATGACTCAGATCCGTATGTTGCTACAGAGGCGATGTGTGCTGCCAAAATTCTGAATTTGATTTCCTTGGTGGTACTTAGCAATAGACATTTAATGTTGTTTAAAAGTCTTCAGGTAGCTGTAAACTTTTATGTGATGAGAACTGATGAGTTTCTTTTCAATCTTCACTTACTTTTATTTTTGTTAACTTTGCTTTTAAAAAAGTTAATTTATGTGGTCTTCATTTCTTTTTACTGTTGTTAACATTGCTATTTTTTTAATGTTTAATTTTTGTAATGTTCATTCAGTTCAGTTTATTTTTGGTAACTTTGCCATTGTTAATACAGTAAAACCACTTTAACCCAAACTCACTTAAGAAGAACACTCAGTTATCATGAAAAAAATGTGGGTCTCAGCAGGGATGAATTCATTTGAGGCTCGGTTTATTTAGCACAAACATTTATAACACAGACTCTGGATTTGTCAATCCTTAGGGGTTCGTGTTAATGAGGTGTTACTGTATTTCATTTGTGTAATCTACATTTTTAAATATTTATTTTACTTTTATTGTGATCTTTAAAACAAATTGCATTGCACTTTTGTTAACATTATCCCTGTTTAAAACTCTGGCAGAACATTGCGGAAGATCAAGTCTTTAACTCCCCATATATCAGTGTCTGTGCTGACTGGAAACTATTACGATGAGCAGATGCCTAGCACATTAAATAAGGTAAAGGCACTAAAGTGCATTTGACTTGTGTCCTCAGACACCTTTGTTGGTATTATTAAAGTTAAGTCACGTAAAGAACTCATTACATAGGGGAGTGTTGGCATATTAGGTGTATATAGAAATGCTTGTGTTGTGTTGCTGTTCATCCATCACTAGTGATGAAGACCACTTTTCATCCAAAGTAATAATGATCAACAGTTATGAGTACGAAGGTCGCTGATTATTCCAATATGACCCTAAAAAGTTCTTGAGCAGTGTTCACAACAGGTAGAAGCCGGCAGTAAGTATGAGATTAGCGATATAGCTCTTTCTATTCAGCCTCCGTTTCTCTGCCTGTGCAACCTCCACTGCCTGGCAGGCCGATGCACCATGCCTGAGGGATGCAGGCCACCCAGAACGGTCCTGTGCAGCAGCCTCACAAGATGATAATTAGATGAAAGTAACTTTGCACAAGGACTCAGATTTGAGTTATGGAGAGTTGTGCAATAGGTCGACCTCACTCTCTCGCCTGTGTCCATCTTGATCCAATGGCAAGACAATGTCAAGACCATTGTAAATGGAATAATGTTTGTAAAAGTAAAGTAAAGGACATTTTTCTGCACCTTCAGGTGCATTGGACATATAGTGCTAGACCTATCTTTTATACACCAATCAGTGGGGGATGTGGTCAGCATCATGCCAACCGCCTTTACTTCCCAGGACTTTACCTGGCACTCAATTAAGACTGGGTTGACCTGGGAGCACAGGTCACTTTTGAAAAAAGTCAGGCTCAGTTCGGATTTGAAACCATGACCTTCAGAATCTGCAGGTGAGTGTCTGGCCACTTTGCCCTGATGGCGCAGGAGAAACTGTTCTGGAGAAATAAAGAGGGGGATGAAAGAAAAGAGTTGGGAGGGGGGGGGGGGCAAAAAATTATTAGATTACCATGAACTGTGGCTAACGAGAACAACTAAAACAATTACTAAAGAAACAGTTACATTACCACAACTGTTGGCAAATTTTCACTGTTCTTACCCTCATGTTTATGTTGTTTGTGACAGGCCTGGGCCCGAGCTGAACAAAGCCTGTTGTCCAGACTGCCACAGAATGTACAGCACCTAGTGGTCAATGGTGCTGACCGTCACATGATGTACCGGAAACCAGAACCTATCATTGAAACTGTGCTAAAATTAGTTCGAAAGTGGAAAAGGACCCAGTCTTTAAGTGATAGTAAAAGTTCATAATGAGCCTCAGTGTCCATGCCTGTTTGAACGAAATGAATTTAATTATAAATTAATTTAAGTAAGACTTTAAATATTTTGACATACAGATGGAGGAAATTTCTGGTTAAAGGATTCCTAGAACAGGCATGTCAAACATGCGGCCTGAGTGCCTCATGCGGCCCTTTGTCAGCTTTTTTTTTTTAAATTAATTAAATGTCTTCAGTTAGTTGTATATGGCCCTCATGACAACACACATGTGGTCCATAAGGCCCTCTGGAGACCCTCAGTTTGATATGCCTGATCTAGAAGACAAATTATAGGAAAGGCATGCATGAAAGACAATGTTACCTGTGAGTGAACAAAACCGAGAGATGGATTGGAGGAAAAATTTGGAAGGGAAGAGTGCAAGAGGAAGGCAACAATGTATTTGGATGGATAACATCACAAGATGGATTGGATGAAAATTGGAGGGGAAGAGTGCAAGAGGAAGGAAAGATTGTATTTGGATGGACAACATCAAAAGAGATTAAAATAAAAATTTGAAGGGGAAAAGTGCAAGAGGTAGGCAAGATTTATTTTGAATGGACAACATTAAGAGATGGATTGGAGGAAAACCTGGAGGGGAATAGTGCAGGAGGAAGGGATGTGTATCTAGGCCCTGTGGATGTAGTATACCCATTATTTTGTTGGTTTAACAACTGACTTTTTGGAGCTTCAGCTGTAACCTTCTGGGATGGAAAGAGTTCAAGAGAAAACTGGTCGTGATCTTTAAGATCTGCTGCCAGCCATATGAAGAAGAGGAAGAGTAATTTTTTAGAATACAGCCAATGCTTGCTACGTGCTATCATAGTTTTGGAAATGTTCATCTTTTTTTCTTCGCAGAGATTGTAGAGTAATGAAGCACTCACATCTTGATGTTGTAGAACAATGAGCAAACTCAAATTGTGATATATAGAAAAATGGAGCACTCACATCAATTATGTTATAGAACAGACCTGTTCAACTGGCAGCTTGTAGGCCAAATCTAGGCCGCAAAGGCCTAGTAAGTGGCCCATGAATCATTGCCAGTTGTACTGTAATGATCTTTCAGTGCTTTGTCCTGGTCCCCTGGCCCATGACAATCCCCATTTTCAAAATGTTTGCCCCTGAGTAAACTTAGTTGATTAGCCCTGCTATAGAATACTGGCAGCACTGACACCATCATGCTATAGAATAGAGGAGCAATTACATCATGGTGTTATAGAACAATGGAGCACTCACATCACGATGTTATAGAAAGGAGCACTGATGTGGTGATGTTATATGCAAACAAGTACGTGAAAATGATGGTGAACATGACACACCAAGTTTTATTTTACGGAGTGAGAGTTCTCTGAATGTTGCAACTGAGAGAGAGAAAGATGAGGAAGGAGAGTTCTCTGAATGTTGCAACTGAGAGAGAGAAAGATGAGGAAGGAGAGTTCTCTGAATGTTGCAACTGAGAGAGAGAAAGATGAGGAAGGAGAGTTCTCTGAATGTTGCAGCTGAGAGAGAGAAAGATGAGGAAGGAGAGTTCTCTGAATGTTGCAACTGAGAGAGAGAAAGATGAGGAAGGAGAGTTCTCTGAATGTTGCAACTGAGAGAGAGAAAGATGAGGAAGGAGAGTTCTCTGAATGTTGCAACTGAGAGAGAGAAAGATGAGGAAGGAGAGTTCTCTGAATGTTGCAACTGAGAGAGAGAAAGATGAGGAAGGAGGGTTCTCTGAATGTTGCAACTGAGAGAGAGAAAGATGAGGAAGGAGGGTTCTCTAAATGTTGCAACTGAGAGAGAGAAAGATGAGGAAGGAGAGTTCTCTGAATGTTGCAACTGAGAGAGAGAAAGATGAGGAAGGAGAGTTCTCTGAATGTTGGATCTTTTCTTTTGTGTTCTACATGTAATAGTGAATGAATGAACTTTATTTGCAAAGGGTTACAAACTGGGCACTCAGGCCTGTCCTAAAATCGGCCCTTTCAGTGAATGAGTGAGAGAGAGAGAGAGAGAGAGGTGATTATGTGTGGTAAGGTAGAGTATTCGCAAACCATGAAGATATGTCCAGATTGTAAGAGTTAACATCTGTTATTTTCATGCTGGCAAGGATCAAGAGTGTAGTGAATAAGTACACATTTTTTCAGTCCAATCATTGGCGCTGTGCTTGTGTGTGGGTGAAAGGGAAAGAGAGTGGCAAGGATGGTGATGTTTACAAAGTTAAAATAGACATTCCAAATTTATACTGTGAGAGAAACATGATGGGTGAAGGACTTTAAAAGTGTCTTAAATGCTACATGTAAGAATGTGTGTATGATTGTGCTCAAAATAGCTCATTTAATAGAAGTTTTTCATACCTATGTGCAGTCTGTATTCTTAGAGTGACTCAAAAATGTTGTATATGTCTGGTGAATCTATGTATGTCTAATGAATCTATGTATGTCTAATGAATCTGTGTGTGTCTGATAAATCTGTGTGTCTAAATAATTTGTCTCTTTCTTCTGCCTTTCTCTCTCCCAATGGAGCATAGGCCCTCAACAAACTCACATGGAGCTCTCTCCATGTCCTCCCCATCTTTCTAACTTCATTCTCCAGCTTTCTCCATGTGTTTTTTTTTGGCCTTCCTTTATTCCCATGCCCCTGTTGGTTCCAATGCAAAGACATTCTATTTATGCTGTTCTCCTGTTTTCTCAGTGCCTGTCCTATTCAACGCCAGCGTCTTTTCCTCACCTCTTGGTCCACTGGAGCCTGTTTAGTTCTCTCCCAAAGCTCTACATTAGTTATTCTATCATACAATTTAATTTCCTCTATTTTGCACAGGCACCAGTTAGTGAATGTCTGTAATTTATTAGTAATTGCCTTAGTTGTTCTCCATGTTTCCGCCCCATACAAAAGTACTGATTTGACATTAGAATTAAAAATTTTAAGTTTAGTGTTTATTTTAATTTCTGTTGACCTCCACAAATTCCCTCCTCTTGCCTTTTGTATTCTTATTTTAATGTGTCTGGTGAATCTATGTGTGTTTGATAAATCTATGTGTGTCTAATGAATCTGTGTGTGTCTGGTGAATCTATATGTGTCTGGTGAATCTATGTGTGTCTGGTGAATCTATGTGTGTTTGATGAATCTGTGTGTGTCTGATGAATCTATGTGTGTCTAATGAATCTATTGTGTCTGATGAATCTATTGTGTTTGATGAATCTGTGTGTGTTTCATGAATCTATGTATGTCTAATGAATCTATGTGTGTCTAATGAATATGTGTGTGTCTGATGAATCTGTGTGTGTCTGATGAATCTATGTGTGTTTGATGAATCTGTGTGTGTCTAATGAATCTATGAGTGTCTGATGAATCTGTGTGTGTTTGATGAATCTGTGTGTGTCTGATGAATCTATGTGTGTCTGATGAATCTATGTGTGTCTGATGAATCTGTGTGTGTCTGATGAATCTATGTGTGTCTGATGAATCTATGTGTGTCTGATGAATCTATGTGTGTCTGATGTCACTATATATTAAATATTGGTTTGTGACAGCAGGTATATATTCATTGTGGTATGTTGAGTCTGTGTAGGTCTAATGAATCTGTGCCTAAAGAATCTATGTATGTCTAAAGAATCTGTCACTATATATTAAATATTGGGTTGTGACAGCAGGTACATATTCATTGTGGTATGTTGAGTCTGTGTAGGTCTAATGAATCTGTGCCTAATGAATCTATGTGTGTCTAAAGAATCTGTCACTATATATTAAATATTGGTTTGTGACAGCAGGTATATATTCATTGTGGTATGTTAAGTCTGTGTAGGTCTAATGAATCTGTGCCTAATGAATCTATGTATGTCTAAAGAATCTGTCACTATATATTAAATATTGGTTTGTGACAGCAGGTATATATTCATTGTGGTATGTTAAGTCTGTGTAGGTCTAATGAATCTGTGCCTAATGAATCTATGTATGTCTAAAGAATCTGTCACTATATATTAAAGATTGGTTTGCTACTGCTGGTGTCTTTTCATTGTGGTGTGTTGAATATATGTATGTCTAATGAATCCATTTATGTCCAGTGAATCTTTATATGTCCAATGAATCTGTGTGTGTCTAAAGAATCTGTTAGCATATATTAAAGGTTTGTTTGTGACTGCAGGTGTATTTTTATTGTGGTTTGTCATTGGCAACTGTCTTTGCCGATGATAGGGTAAACTGTACTGTAGGTGGCATGGGAGTCACCACCCATAGCAATAAAGAGCATGACTAGCAAGACCGGCCTGCGTTAGGAAAAGTATACAGTGAAATATTTGAGATGCAACCCTTTGTCATCATCTTCATGTCCCTTGTAATTAGTGACAGGTGGTTATTATTCAATGTCAACATCCTGAATGACCTGAACATCAAGGAGAACTGGCTCATAAACAGCATCCTCTCCCAGCTGAGGTATTTTGGACATTTCAAGCGATATTGTGGTCTAGAGCATGATGGAACGATGATGGAAGTTGTAGTTTCTAGAAAACGAGATAGAGGCCGACCTTCTCATAGATAGATGCAGGATAATGAAGATACATTGGCTATGAAAGCACACAGGATTGGAGAATGGGCTAGAGCAGTGTTTCCCAAACTTGTCTTAATCGCGGTGCATTTTTTCAATTGCACTTTTTCCTCAGCGCCCTAACCAAAGTAAAAGGATGACTATTCATATGTAAAAGATTTTTAAAAACTCGTATCTTTGAATATTTCGTGGCGCCCCTGCGAAGAGGTAGCGCCTCCCCGGGGCGCCGCAGTGCACAGTTTGGGAATCACTGGGCTAAAGAAGAAGAGAATTTCAGTTGTGGTGTGAAGAGAGTGATGTTTTGTAAAGAACATGCTGATTGATTGGTCATTCTTCTATAGGTTTCATTGCGTCCATATAGCTGATAACTTAGAATGTATGCACAACTCAGTCAACTTTCAGCACCACATGCTCAAAATCACATAAGATTTGTCAGACACAATTTAGAGTGGAAGTTGACACTCTAAATGTCCTA